AGCACCTATTGCTGACTACCAGAGAGAAGGCATCAGCTGTGGACCACTGGATTTATCCAGTATGGCAAATGGTACAAGCAAACAGCCACTTAAAGAAGTCAACCTGAACTAATGTCAAATAGAAGTGTGTAATGCATCATTTCATGGATTTAAAAAAAAAAGGGGGAAAAAAAAAGCCTGTGAAGAAATGAATCCTGTATAGCTTGGAACATCAAAAAAGCCTTCCAATGTTTAGCCGCTCCAAATTTATCTGAATCTTTTGAAGACTTCTCCTATCTTCCATTGCTCTTTGAACATATTTTTGTTACGACCCTATCTTAATCAGGCTGGTCATACATAACAGTTTACAATTTCTTTCAACTTTTCTATTCTTTCTCCTCCCCCCACTCAGGTATAAGCAGCTTCCTGGGTAATTTGGATTGCTGGACTGCTTTTCCTCCTGTTATTTTCCTTTCCTAGACAAATCACTCTGCACAGATCTGTAGTTTGCATTTGCAAATGAACACAGAGCATATGCAAATAACTGTGGAAGAATCTTCTCTGTAGATGCAAGTGCCTTAAAATATGGGCACAGCGGGAGTTCAGACATCTTTGCAGCTTCATCCATTTTGCCCTGCTTTGAAAATTTGGCGTCTTCATCTTATGAGTGAGATATTTTATTTAAACAGAGCATGACAGCATAATGCATTACAGCAAAGGCAGACTGCAAAGCTGAGATCTATGACAGCTCAGTAGAGTAAATGGGAACCTACAAACATAAGACTGAAATGGTGGGAATGGCAGTTATGGGTGTCAATTGCCACTCATCGTCCTTTTGTTTAAAAGGAAAAAAGGGAGTAATGGAAAAACTAGGACTGAACGAGTATCTTCCTCTGAGCTAAATAACCATTTGCAACTGATACTTTGATCATGACTATTTCATAAGCCTCTAATGGATTAAACTTTTAGTCACCCCTTCAAAAAAAAAAGGCAATATCGATTGACAGGCAAGCAAGACTACTTATTTTCAAAATTAACTTATAATGATAGTAGAGAAGTAAGCTGTTGAAACAAAAACCACAGCAGTTTGAATATCTTGACTGACATGACCTTTTGAATGTAATTGTGTAGATGGAAACAATATGCTCCAAGCAAGGGTGGGTATAAATCTGTATATTATTACTTTCACTTTATTCAATCCCTCTTTTCCCCCATGCCACCTCCTTCCAGGATAACCAATTTTAAGTCAGTCCATCATTCCTTAAAGGATGCAGTCTTACCTCTGGGTACAACAGAGGTTGTTGCTATTATTATTATTATTACTATTATCATTATTATTATAATTCTCATCATCCTCACCACCTATATTGTTGTTGCTGTTGTTATACAATTTCTACATATATTCAACTGATAACCAAATTCCAGAGAGTATGCTGACATTCAAGAAATGCTGTCATATAGATGCAACACTGCACTATGGCCAGACAGGATTTTGTAGCCTAACACTGCAAGACTGGTGTTTTCTGAGAAGGACTAATCATTCCTATCTCAGATTAATGGTAGCTGAAAACACTCAGCACTTCACAGAATCTGTCTGGTTTCCATTTGTATTAGACATCTAATTATTTTCATTTTCTTACCTCCAACTTTGGAATTGTAAGCTACTCCAACTCCACATTTTCTGTTGTTGGCTTGCATGGCAATTTCTCCTGCACACCGTGTCCCATGCCTGAATAAATACAGTAAGAATAAACAACATCTCATAACATTTTTGTGTGACGTACATAAAGACTCATCAGTGACCTTCCTGATTTGGTAGAAGTCTTCCTTTAAATGAATGCAATGCAGCTATTGAATAGCTTTTGAACTGTGTCTACGTGATACAAAAACACTTGTTTCTCTTAGGCTTCATTCAACATAATTTTACCTACTTAATAATCAAAGGATCATTGTGATGAGATGATAAGTACCTAATTTAAGTCACACTGAAGTCCGTAGACCTATTAGATACAGGTATTTGAGATGAGTGTGAAAGTAGCGTCCAATTATGAGGCTAAGAAGCTGCTAAACTTCTTCAGACAAAAATATGATACAAGTCTTTTTTAATCACACATTTAGATACTCATTTATTAAGGATTTCAGAAAGTTAGCCTTTAAAGTATCCTCACCATTGCTAAATTTTCCTTGTAACTAACTATTTTCTATGCAATTATTTTTTGCCATACGTGATTCTTATTCCACAATACAGAAGACCTTCATATAACTGTAATCGTAAAAGAGTTGTATTATTTAATACTACAGATTGTTATTCAATGAAGTGTTTGAATGCCTCTGGGCTGAATTCCATTTACTTATTAATAAAGATTAGAGGTAATACAGGTAGATTTAAGAGATCATGTCATCGGAACAAGAGGATAATGGCTTCTTGCTCTTAAATAATGCTGTAACAAAGCAGAAATGTCATTTGTCAAATGTCTTATTCATGGGACATTTATCCTTTGATTGATTGGTTTTTTTCCCAATACACTGATTTATGTTGTGGATGGTGTTGTATTGTCTGATAGACAATAGGGAACCAGTCCATCAGTTTCTTACTGTATCTTTATTGAGTACCGGCATCCTAATTGGTTTAAGAAATTGACTTCTTCTGTGTACCAGCTTTTAAAGAGGTCCATTCTCTTCTCTTTCTGATGGACAAAATCGCTCCTTGAACTACCATGGATACGCTTCCGTGTGACAGACCCATCAAGATGTTCCACAGAGTATCAAAGAGGTAGCTCTACAGAGGGCATCAGACAAAATTCCACAAGTCCAGTAAGTGAACTGGCTGGTTGTCTTGTATTCAAGCCTTTCAAAACTTCCTAGGTTACTACCTTGAGGACATTTAGGCCAAATCTGGTCTAAATAAAGCTTTCATATGCCTCAGAAGAGACAGATTGTCCCAGGAGTGAATGTAACCTCCAGTGTCTGACTGTGTGTCATACCCATATGAGAGGAGGTCAGAAGCATGACTTCACCTGTGATTGCCTGCACTGAGCTAGAAGCTATTCTATTGGCCCAAAAGATACTGCCAAAACTGGAAAACAGCATCCTTAGCTACAAAAGCTGATCTGAAGGGATGGGTTTCTTGGTAGATTCCTCTAAGACACAGTCTCCTCCAGAGCCCTTCATAGGAGACATATTCTTTTAAAATTCCCAGTGCAAAGCAGAGAACTAAGTAAAAATCTGCCTAGGGAGGTATCATTCTAGAAACACATGTGGTGACATGAACAGATTGTTCCCTTTAGCTTACAGAAACATATCAGTACCTTACATATACACAGATATGAAGAAACTCAGGACATTTTAGGGAGATTAGAGTTACAATGCTCTTCATCTGGGAATTTAATTTCCTTAGTTTCCAGTGTTTGTGCCAATGGTGCGTGCAAATCTTTGTGCAAACTGAAACACAGGGGGTTCCTTCTGAACATCAGGAAACACTTTTTCACTGTGAGGGTGACCAAGCACTGGCAAAGGCTGCCCAGGGAGGTTGTGCAGTTTCCCTCCTTGGAAATATTCAAAAGCCATCTGGATGTGGTCCTGGGCAACCGGCTCTAGGTCTCCCTGCTTGAGCAGGGGCTCAGACCACACGACCTTCAGGGGTCCCTTCCAACCTCAGCCATCCTGTGATTCTGTTATACAAATTCTTCCTTTTATTATATAATTGTCACAGGGAACATACATAGATATTTCTGCATTTGTATGGTCTAATACATAAATTAATAACGTACTGTTTTGTTCTCTTCACACAACTGGGAGGCTACCTACTTGTTTTCATTTGTTGGGTCATATCTAGGAAAGGGATCGTGATCGTTGTCATTGAAATCATAACTTGCCTGAGGATCCTACATTTAAAAAAAAAACACAGAATTAATTCAGACCACTAGAAAATGCATTTTAAAACGTGTAACAAAATGGGTTCTTGACTGTATTTATTTCTTTGGTGTGGCTGATGTTGACAGCAATTGGGTTGGTAGAATTTGATGGGCATTAACAATTCCGTAAACTTTTCACGGAGCTCTAATAATTCAGCATTAAATCACTGTATACAAACATGCCTGGGAACTAAATACACTGAGGTGAAAAAAAAAAACAAAACAACAAAAACCCCCCGCTATCATTGCTAAGTAACATTCAGCTTTCTGTGACACAGACCAGGTTCCAAATTATGCCTAAAGCAAATATTTCAGTCTGTACTGTAGGAGCTGACTTACAGAACAGACAGCAAGCTAGAGTGTCTGTATATCAAATTTACAACTGATTAATTTATTCCATAGCATTCTAATGTCCAAACTTACATAGTTAGCATAGATGTCAGTGTGATTCCACTCCAAGCCATCATCTAGTACTGTGATGACAACACCCTTGCCTGTAATCCCTTTTTGCCATACAGGAATAACATGGAGATCCAGTTTGGGCAGGGATGGAGTTATTCTTGTATCTTGCTGCGGGACAGAAAGGATTAAAATATGTCAACGTTTTTATCAATTTATACTACACAGGTCCAAAGTCGTATTTTAACAGTGCTCTAAACCATCCCAGCCTGAACTTGTGTATTTTGCTCAAATTTTGCAAAGATAACACAAAAATTATTTTCTTCAAATACCTGTAGCAGTGAAAGATTTACCCCATTACGTGAAGATCCCTGAAGACCACCTCTGAACAAAGAGCATCTTGTATTTATTGGAGGCAGGCAGCAGAAACATGGGAATGGTAGGGATGTACCAATGAACCTTGGAACTTTGAGTTAATAATCAGACCTGCTAATGTTTGTTCTTTTCACTTGATGAGAAGCCAAGACAGTACCCCACGGTACAGTGAGCTGCGTTTTCTCCAAACGTATTTTCTCCTTTGACATTCAAGTTAGCCAGAGCAAAATAATTAATGGATAAAACAATTAAGGTAGTCTTTTGGTTAGGAACAACTGTGCTGAATCACAACTTTCTGTTTACTACCCTCATTACTGTTCCTGTGGTAAATCAACTGGAAGCATGAATCATCTGTAGCCTTCTCTTCCACAGCAAGCTCTTTCAAGAGTAGCTCCTAAATGGGTCATTTTTTGTCCCTAATATTAAATGTGCAGTACATACATCTAATTTGGAAAACTTGCTTACAACCCCCATAAAAACACAGATGTAAAAAAAGCATTTTCCTTCTGTTTCTCTGTGGATAATTACATCAGTTGATCGCAGGTTTTTCATTTCTCTTTGTTTCCAAAGGAATGTTGCATACAATATGAGGCTTAGAAAAAGAAATTTGTTATGGGAATGACCTTTCTTTCATTTTATGCTTTCCTTTCTGAGTGCTGCTGTTCAGGGAATTATTTCAGGTTTCAAGTTTTGTTCTCTAGAATCCATCAAATAATCAAATAATTTTTTATGGTGATGTGTAAAGGTACACTGAATAGAGCTAAAAACTGTTGCCATCAAATCATAATAATAAGGTCATAATGAGTTATTTACTACAAGGCAAGGAATATATTTTGGAAGAAAATATTTAACACATTTATGCATTTAATCAGAAAAAATTCAATGTGCACTGCAAACAAGGGTAAGCATCATGTTTCTGTTTCTCATGTGGGAAAGCTAGAGGGAAAAGAAGTGAAAACCACAGAAAGGTGCAAAAAGGAACTGTGTCTCCTGGAGAGCATGACATTGCTTTTTCCACAAAACTGCTTTTTTTGAACTCTGTGTGTGTGTATTTGTCCAATACAGATATCTCAGAAATTTCCTGCTTCCTATTGGAAACAGGCAGAGAAGCAAACAGATATTCAGCTTCAAAGATAAGTTAAATTCTTAAAGATAACCATTTGACTCTTCATTTACTCCCTTCAGTGCAAGCGCTCTGATACGAGTGAAATAATACAGCTGATAGTACAACTGAAATTCACCATCCCCAGTTCTAGAATGAAACAAATTCTTACCAGATACCACTGCTGATTCCACATAGGATCATTGAAAAGATTTTCTGCTGAGTCTCTCACAGTGGCACGCTTAGTTCGCTTTTTTTCATATTGTTGCTCTGCCCATGACACCTACAATTATTTGTATAAATATGACAAGTAAGCCTCTATAGGTTAGAACTTTCTTAACCTAGAGGGTAAGGGGTTTTCTCACACAGCAAAATTTTGATGTCTAAAGCAAAATGAGCAATGTTTGATGCAGAGAGGAGGATTATTTATATTGTAGTACAGTGTACTTTGGGGAAGAGGATTTGGTGAAATCACGATACTATAGAAGCAATTCATAAAAAATCATTAAGCCCAAGTTAACAGCAGAATTCCTGTGAGTGCCACACAATGCAGGCTTCTATATCAAACGCGTAGTATGGTTAGAAGGTTATCTAAGCAGTGGTGGTTACCGAAACAAGCAAAACTACAACCTGCTTCTTCCTCCTACCTACATTTTAATACCTATCTATTTCTATTGGGAGTTAAAAGAAAACGAGAAAGATTATCTCTGGCTTTAGTCTAGCAATAATAATGATGCTGTTACTCATAGCCCAGCTGGACCTTCAAGTCTCCTTCCCAGTGGTGTTTTGAGGTGTGATCCATTAGTAAGCTATGAACATTGGACTAACCTCATCATCGCCATAATTCCACTTAAGGCAACTGAAAGCCAAAATGCTTCAATGTGTTTTGCTAAAGCATCGATAGAATGAGTTGCATAGCATTTGTGCACAGACAGAGAGGTCTCCAAGTCACTAGGGTGCATTTTAAAAGTGTATCCCACTTCGTTTCCTTGAATGCATTACTAAACCCAGTTCAAATCAAATCCTGACTCCGATACCTTTCTTTGTGCTGTGTGCTCCTTTTGGAAATGGGAATAAAATGTTATTCATTGCTAGTACATGGACGGTCACTCTGACACAGATCAAGTTGGTGCTTTTCATCCCAATTTCCATACGAGCAAAGCAAATTCAAGTTCAGCAGATTGCCAAGATGCTGCTATAAGCCTCAAGTGGAGGACGCCTTGGATCTAACCTTTTGCTTTAAACATCTGAATAGATTTCATTATTTTTGTCTACTGTGATCCAATGGTTTTATAGTCCTTAAATCTATCCCCATGTATGAAACAATAATAAGAGTGACTCAGACATTATAATGATAAAAAAGTCCTGATTTGATTAAAATACGATTTTCTCGTGACAGCCTAATGGAAGTTCACTACAAAAACATAAACCCTCAAAAACGGTAGCTACATCACACATGTTTACTGAAAGTTCTCTAATACTATTCCCTTTGCTATATATTTAGTGCTAAATCCCCTAAAAACAGTAGTTAGTCACAGAAGATGAATATACCCATGCAAGCATAAGTATTTTAAACTGCCCTATTGATATCCAGGGCCATACACACTTCCGCACAGGTTAGAGCAATTACCTTTATTTCTCTTCCCTGCCCACAGCAAAGCTTGGCCTCTTCATCACCCAACAGTAATTAACAACTGACAACTTCCATGCTTGTTTGATGTGGACAACTGCACTGAGGGAAATGAGCTGAAACTACCAAGCACAGAAGTCAGACAAACAAGCCAAATGTTTGTCACTCAGCAGCTGGGTGAGGTTCCAACCATCCATCTACAGCAAAAGCTGAAGGCCCTGTGCCAAATCTCCAGTCGCTGACATATAAAGCAGTGAAAATAATCTTGATTCAGGTCTCTTGCAAGAAAGTAGATTTGGAAACTGGTGCAAATACTGGAAGAAGTTAGGGAACCAGATAATTATATCCTTTCAATATATTCACAGCCTTTATCTGTTTTCCAACAAACGCTGGGACATCTATAGGAAGCAGATCAATACTCAGATTAGAGCCAAGTTTTACCCCAGCTTTCACACTTAACGTACCATAAAATTCATGAAGGCACTATACAAACAAAAGCAGGATTCCCTTCTCTCCCCCTTTTTAAAGATTGAATTTAAATCTTTTTAAATAGGCTGTTGCTGAACAAGAGTAGCTCGTTGGAGCAAAGGTCCGTGTATAACTACACAGCATTACATGATTGCTTTGTGTTTATATACTTACATAATGACATAATTACATCTCATTCATTCACATAGTTAATTTGCATACTAGATGGTAAATAAAAGGGAAATTAGAGTAAATTTAGCAAATCACCTGCAGCTCTTTCAAGCTCTGTTTTTGGATCTAAGTATGTAAGTCTGCAATAATGTTTGGCAGTAATGTGTGTAACACAATTGCTTCCATTCTGCTTACAACATTAGAATTTAGTATATTAAACACAGTCATGCTGCCCTGTGTAAGAGATGCATTGAATGTACTAAGTCCAAAAAAGGGAGGAACTGCAATCAAAACTCTGTTCCTGAACATTGTACTATGGCGGCATTGAACATTTGATCATTGCTATGGGTATAAATTAAAACACTAATTTACACTAAAGCTGTGGGTTTGAACATCCCCAGTTTAGAATTATTTCAGCTAGAAGACTTTAACTGTTAAATCAATGTTTGCAAGGAGATAAGACGGGAGTGTACACTTTTGAAACAGAACAGGCAAAACAAACACCCTGTCTCACTCCCTCCTTTAATTCTTCTAGCTACGGATAGAATATTTCGTCCTAGATGACATTCACATCTAAAACCCCCAGATAACCAATTATTTGTTCTCAAGTGATTTGTCCTTATATGATAAATTGCTGGTTTTCACAACTGAGTTACTTCATGTTTTGCACTGCTCATATTTTTACAATGATTGCTGCAATAATGCTGATTTGAAATTCAAATTTCATTGTTCTGAAACTTGCCAGAAATCGTTTTTAAGAGGGGCTGAGAGCATTCTGGTCTGTTCCTTAAATTTGCCACCCACCTCATTTTCTCAGTATGTTTACAGACACGCTTCTCTCTTAAAGTCAAATAAATGGGGAGTCTGCCTCACCAGTGGATCATACCTTACAGCCCTGGCTCTCCAGTGTGGCTGTTCTTGGATTGCAGTCAGACCCCAGTGTACCAACAAGACTGCAAGTCTAGAATGTGTGATGGATCCTTTGAGAAGGGGTTTTAGCTTGTCATAGAAAAAGCGAATCCAGCAAAACCTCAGCCCTTTTCCTCTATTTTTTTTTTTTTTAATATTCAGTCACTTTAAATCAACCCTAATTCCCATGGTAATTGCACAGACATGGCCTGATTAAACTTACTGCATCTATGGATTTTTACTTTGACTCGAGCCCTGTGGTTCCTCATCCATATTTTTATCAGCAACACATCATCTGAAATTCCAAGCCTCTGCAATGCTGCATATCTTAAATCTTAATTTGGAAAGCACTTGCAAAAAATATGGTAAGAGAGGGTCAGATTCTGCCTGTTAATGACAGAATAATAAAGTATTATTCAGCACGAGTACGGATGGCTGCATATATTAGACTTGCAAAACGAGGAAAGCCTGCCTGTGACCTCATTACAAAGCTAGCAATAAGGAGACAGAATAAACAGGGGGCATGAAAAGGAATAAATGTAACACTCACCCGCTCATCATCAGAAAGTCTTTTAGTGATATGAATGGCACTTCTTCGAGACCGCCTTGGATGGCTTTTACGTCTGAATAGGTAGTGATTTTTGAGTGATCCAATCTATAAGACAGAGGCATACTTTAACTATCGAGAGATATTTTCTCACTGGAAACGAATATCAACAGTCACAACCTGACCGAATTCATTCTGCTTAAAAGAGGAAAGAAAAGAGCAAGAAACTAGCCTTTAGAGATATTAAACTAAAAAATACTCTTCAAGGAAGAGCTGCTTATCACAGCCTGTGTGCTGCTAGAAGAAATTGGGGGAATAATTCCATTTAAGTTAGTGAAGTAGCCGTCATTACTACTACAGTACTCAGTAATGTAGTACCTGTAGTAGTGACCAGTATACTCACAGTCCCATTTCGAAGGACAGGTTTTACGTACAGTCACACGCCAGTTTTACCTGCTCTTCCTGGGGTTCAGCTGAACAGGTGTAAAAAGCTTCGTGTGGCCTCAGAAACCTCCCTGTGGGGTTTGTTTGTACAGGCACCTACTGAACGGGTGTTCTCACTTGTGCAGTAGCTGCTCACCCGGGGAGCTGGGTGCACCCTGCCGGCTTTGAACATCCCTTGTCCCTACGGAGGGGCTGTTTGAAATCAGTGGGGGGCAAATCCACTGACTCCAAGGGCAGAAAGACCAAGCCCACAGAGGTGGGCTCACACCGAGGTTTCAGAGTCCGAAGAACGCCCGGGCAGGAGGCCGGGAAGGGGCTGAGGAGAGGGAACCTCCCTCCCGCTGCCGGCCAGCTCCCGGCGGGGGTCTGCACGCCACGGCGCGGGTGGGAAGCGGCTCTGCGGGGTCCCCAGCGCTGCCAGAGGCGCTGCCTGGCACAGGACCCTCGCCTGGAGGTGGGACGAGGCTGTTACCTAAAGGCGGTTACTCATCCCTGACAACGCTGACGTCACGGCATCCCAAAAAAGCGCCAGGAGGGACGGCTGGAGAGGAGCCCCGCGATGGCGATGGAGCCTCCGAGGGGGGGAGCGGGATGGCGGGGGGGCCAGGTCGGGGGCGGCGCGGGGCCGAAGCCAGCGCTGCCCGCGCCCGCCTCCTGCCCGGAGCCCTCGGGGGGAGCCGGGG